ATATTAAAAAAAAAAAAAAAAGCCCTGGCTGGTGTGGCACAGTGGTTAGAGCATTGGCCCATGCACCGAAGGGTCACAGGTTTGATCCCCTGCCCTGCTCCATGCACATGCAGGGGTCAGCCAATCAATGTCTCTCTCTCACATCAATGTATGTTTCTTTCTCTCCCCCTTCCTCCCTCCCTTCCACTCTTTAAAAAAAAAATCAATGGAAAAAAAATATTCTTGGGTAAGGGTTAACTAACAAAAAAACCACAACAAACCAGGGGGCTTTCTAACATGCTGCATGCAGGGCAAACGCAGCTAGGTCTGAAACTTTTAGCAACCATAAAAACAAGGGGAATGAATTAGTTGTACATACTATAGGTAACCCCTAGGGCCTAACCTGCCAGATACAGAATTTTAGAAGTTTGTCTAAACATGGAAAGGCTGAGTTTGCATGCCAGAGATGAATTCCTGAAATAAAAAACAAAACAAAACACTTTTCAACAGTTTATTCATGTAAAAGGCTGGTAAGTAGTTTCCACAGGCTGTTTTAATGTAAACTTTGCTATTCTGGTCCTCTGCATGTGATGGGGAGAGTAACCAAGGTTGAATTTCTTCAAGATCACTCTCTTAATCATCCTCATTTACTTAATACGCAGTAGAAGGCAAAGGAAGAAATGTATATTTCAGTTATTTTAATGCAGCCAAGTAGGTTCTAAAAACTTAAGAGACGAGTAAGCTATTTTCAGAGTTCAAAACTTTTTATTTGGAGTTCCAAGTAGCTGACAAAACTATCTAAAACAAATCTGACAAGACAACTGAATACAATGAATTTGAAACCAAAGGGAGTAAGAATGTTGCTAATTTATTTATTTTTTAAATAATTTATTCAGGTACAAACTAGTCATATAGATTAAACAGGAACCAGATACTCCACACATTCCCCATAGCATAAATCAAACTGATTAAAATGAAATTACAGATGTTTAAGAACAATATATGTGATAGAAATAAAAGTCACAATTTTAGAAAAGGAGCTTAGGCCTAATGCATGTAAACCACATCTGAAGTTCTCAGTCTGCATTAAAGCAGTCCTCAGATGTCTCTAAACTTCCAAACATCTCCCTATCAGTGTGGCTCATTTTCAAGAAAACAGGTGAGATTTAAGAGAGAATTGTGCCCAGGATCTATATAATTTTGTAAGTATGTATATTCCACATCCAACCTGAAATTTTAAGCAAGCCAACCTTTGGGTACTGAATGTACTGTCATAAAACTACTAAAATCTAAACTGAAAGCCACCAATAATGACAAAATAAAGGATGGAGTTTAGCTAAGTGTTTCTAATATGAAATTAATGGTACTCCTATATAAGATTTCCAAGCATCAAACTCAACCTCACAATACTGAAGTCTTACCACAAGGAAGGCACACTACTGTGTTCAGACTACTGCTCTAGAGGTAATTATAAAATCAGACATCTAATCTGGTAGGTCAAAATAGCATATATAGATGAGCAGTACAAAACAGGCTATAATTATAATTGCCAATCGATAATATGAATACCAAGATTTCTACAGGGACAATGTGAGAGAATGCTTTTTTTTCTGATGAAAATTATAAGATGAAATATTTAATGTGTAACTATAAAAACTGAACATACAAAGAGATTTTACTGTAATAAACCAAATCAAGTATCTAATTATGTATAATATATGATACAGGTAGTCTAGTATAAATGGTGAATCTTTGAAAAAGTGATTGGGGGTTAAACTTTCAACATAGTTTTCAATTCGTTTCTTCCCTTTGGTCATCTAATATGTATTGGCAGAGTCAGCATTAACAGTTTTCCCCATCTTTCATAATTACCATGACCATACATCTATACATGTACTCATTCTCTCCTTTATGCCCTATGTTCTTCTAGCCTATCATCTTCTGTATCTTCCCTCCACTTTACCTCTAAGGCTTCAATGAATAGGGTTCACTGTCCACCTTCTCCTTGTCAGGTATCCTAGGTGCCAGATAATTTAAGGCAACAGAAATTGTTATTAAGACTTTGGAAAGCTTAATCCCACATGACAGAGCAGGGAAAATCAGAGTATAGGCTCAGGATCTCTGCAGTGAGGGAGTTCTGAACAATCAAACAAAATGTCTATGTTAGGGGCATGCAGAGGACGGGAATAAGGGTGAGGGAGAAATGACTACTCTTTTGCCCCAATGTTTCTAAAGCTTTGTAGTCAAGGCAAGTATATTTTCAGCACTGTTCTTAGCATCAATATAGTTTCAAAACTAAAGAGACAGTGTCCTCTTTCTCCTAAAAAATATTCCCCCTCCTATTTCTAAAATGTCTAAAATTTGTTCAACAAATTTAGTTGAAAGCTTAAAAACAAGTATAACTGGGACATTTACAAGATGACAAAGATGTGTTTCAGATTTGTTTCATTCAAATAGGATGCTCTTACAGAGGAAGGGGTCTAAGATAGTGGATGTTCGCAGGAAGGAAGAGCTGTGAATGTAGAGGAGGTAGAAAAGAAAAGAAGCAAAACAGTGAAGACACTGAGCTTGAAGACGTCATAGTTTTGATGGAAACTGACCGTACCTCCCAATTCCTTTGTGATAAATTTCCAACTCCTTTACATTATCGTTTTGACAGGCCCCCATATATCCTCTCATTTCATCTCCTGTTGTAGCCCTCCATGATCTGCACACAAAACTACAACATATGCTCACAGATCTCAGAAGAGGCCATGTCCTCTCATGCCTTGCCCCACATTTGACATAAACTCTTCTTGTCCCTTAAGTTCCAGTGCAAACAGGTTTTTCTTTGCCCCCCTCATTCTACTTTAAATCGGTCACTGCTTTCTCTGTTGCTCCCAAGCATACAATCACACTTCGTTTCATAGCCCAAAAACTGTGGAGACTTCCTTGACTCCTTTCCTTCACTCGCATTCCACACAGATCCATCAGCAAATCCCATTGGCTTAATGTTTAAAATAGGTACAAAATATGGCACCTTCTATGACCTCCACTGCTATCCTTTCTGGACTACTTCAATAGCTTATCTGGTCCCCCTGCACCTGTGTCCCCCAACAGTCAATTTGTTAAACAACAGCCAGCTTTTACCTTTTAAGTGGGATCATGCCATTCCTCTGCTCAAAATCTTTAAAGGTTTCTCATTTCAGAATAAAAGTCAAAATTTGTACATGGGCTATAAATGTCCTATATAACTTGTGATGAATCCTTCAGCCCAAATTACCTCTGCTCTATGCCCTACAATCCCCCTCTTGTTTACATACCACTCCTGGGACCACTATACAACCAATGGAGTCAGGGCCTTTGCATCTGTCTTCACCTGCTCGTCCCCTCACCTGCTACACGGCTCACTCACTGATCTCTTTCAGATCTCTGCTCCAATGCCACCTTTACAGTGAAATCTTCCCTAATCACTCTTCCCAAAGCTACAGCACCCTCATTCCTCTTTTCTACTCCCCCCCCCCATTTTCAGTACTATATGTATTTTATTTATTGTTTGTCTATCTCTTTCTACAAGAATGCGAACTACCCAGGATTTTTTTTCTTTTCAGTTTTGTTCACCACTGAATCACCAATACCTAGTACAGGATCTGTCCTATGCTATGTGCTCTATAAATACTTACAAAATGAATGAATAAATGTCTACCTGTCCAAATACTAAACAGACTACAAGGCAGGGCCAATGCTTTTTAATTTCTGTATTCTCTCCCATCTCTAAAATATTTGGCACACAATTCATGCTCAATACACGTTAAATTAACCAATTATTTGCATCGTAGCACAGAAAAGTGGTATATACAAAATTATTTTATTTTCTGTATGGTTGGTTGTAAGTGCACATTCGCAGAAACCAGTGATGAAAAGGTGTCTCATTTTGGTTCCCATATTAACTTAAAATGTTTTTGTTGTTGTTTTCTTTAAAGCAAATAGCTGGGCCAAACACCATATTTTAGATGGGTGGCTTTTTCATTATAAGGTGAAATAATGTGAGAAATTAATTATAACTAGTAGGGGAAAAACACAGCAAACTATAACGTTTATGTATGGTCTTACAGATCTCACAGATACCAAAGTATTAATTTCACACTGAGATGGGTCTATTCTAGGGATATTTCCCCAAACTCTACTCTTGTAAATAGTGGTAAATTTAGTACTGCTCATTGCACAGTACTAAGACACTATCCAACGAGTCCCAGTGTTTGCAGGTCTCATCAAACGCAATCTTTGCTGAATGGAGAAATTTACTGCCCCAGACCTCTGCAAAGTTTGTTGTTGCAAAAATCTTGAAATCTATATGCATATCAAGCATTTTCTGTTAGACCAGTTATAATTACATTATGACCATACAGATGATGTGATTGAAAAATAATTTTAAAGTATTACTGGACTCAGAGTAGCTCTGTCATGTTCTCAATCATTGATATTAGAATATGCAACTTCTATGACATGGGAGAGACTACAAAATTAATTGATGTTAAAAATGGAATCCTTGTACTCCAGAAATTGGGAAACAAGTGCCCTGGAGCTTTCAAAAATATCATTCTACACATGATCTTTCTCTTCCAGAGGTGACATTACAGAACAGATAAATAGGCATTTTTTTCCATGCTGGTACTACGCACTCCTAATTGGCAGGATAAAAGAGAAGTAATTTGGGTTTGAGTTGTGACTGTTCTACTAGGTAGCTTTTAAACCATGAACAGGACATTTTACTTGTATAAGCTTTAATTTCTTCACTTAAAAAATGAGGATGAACCCATCTCCCCCTAACCTCTTCATTAAGAGCTGTTAAAGATAAAATTAGGATGGATGTTACATTATGAAGTATAATATAAATATTACTATATAGTAGAATGCATGGAAGTAATGTGTGGCTAACATTATTAAATTCAGACTTGAACATAAAGGGACGACCTATACTAAGCTTAAGAGATTTTAGACCTGACAGAAAATAATGAACCATCAGAGGTTTTACTGAGAAAGGTGGTGGTGGTGGTGTGTTCTGTGTGTACATGTAAAAACCAATGAGGTAATTGCAACTTCAAAGAAATCTAATGGTACTGTGAAAGGATGGCTAGGAGTGAAAAGAACTAGGACTATAGCATTAACAGTAAGGTAAGAGCAGAGTGACCACAAAAGGATGTGAAAAACTGTGTTGAGGGTGCGGGAAAGGGAAGAATTTTAACATAAGTAGATAGGTGGACAGTAACCCAAAGGGAAAAAAATTTCCCCCATATTTTGTAATTGAAAAAGACTGAGTTTAGATGTGTTAAATTGAGGTGTCTGGAGTTATTCAAGAAGAGATGTTCAAGATGGAAGTGAAATTAAACCTCAGAAAGAAGAGGTTGTACACAGACCTGGGAGTCAGCTTCTTAAGATGGTTGAAGAAGTCAGAGAAGAGTGAGAAGAATAAGGGAGAGCTGAATAAAGAACTTGGAGAACTCCCAAAATCAGAAGTACAACCAGAGAAAAAGAATAAAAAGAATATGAGATAAGATGACAGAGGGAATTTATTAGAAATGCCTGTATATTAAAGAAGAAATTCAAATGATGCTTAAGTTTGATATCTGATTTACAAATAAATGCTAAGGATTAGAGAACACTTTTGATAAGTTTCATGTTTACAGAAATAGTATTTTCCTGATGAAAAATGTGTGAACTCCCACAGTAAGCCTCTAGTATCTTCATAGTCAAAAGCTTCCGAGTTGGTTAGTTGTATTCTTCCTTCACATACCTGAAACCCCTTTGCCTTGAAGCATTCAAGTCAGCAATGATGCTGATAAGCCAAAAGGCAAAAAGTGAAGATCATTTTCTGAGAGGAGGACACTTGCTTTTGTTTTTTATTATTACAGTCTAATTCTATTTAAAGTGGCAAGGAGATATGATTTTCCTTAAAAATAGCATATTTAGCACCCAACAGGTTGAATTTCAGGTATTTGGGAAATTTCATCATCCAGAACACCTCATTACCTAGCAACATCAGACAGAGTTGGCATTAAATCTTATCATTTTGACACTATGAGTAACTCATTTACTCTTACCCAGCCAGAAATCTGAAGTCATCTTAGATCTCCCTTTCTCTAACCTCCAATTGATTAATCATTCACCCAGTTAAACAATGTTCCTCTACCACCATTTTCCCATGTCCACGTATTAAGGCATTAACTAAACTGACAGTTCCTCAAATTACAATGATCAGATTTGGGGCTCAGGTCTAGACGTTTAACACCTTGTAATATATTTTGCTCTTACAGTACTAAAAGCTGCAAAGACAGCATGTCTTTCAAAAATCAAAGAAGTGCTCCTTTGAACAAAGCACCTGCCTCATTATAATGTTGTTCTATCATCTTATCTAGGAACAAATGCCTAGTTATTCCAGAATGCTAAATTGTCCTACAATCCATGGGCATGGGTCAGATTTCCATCCCCCTTTTCACTTACATCTATGGATAAGAAAATCTTAAATTCTTGGAAGTACAAAAGTAGCAAGGCCCTAATCTCAATAACATAAAATGTTCATAAGTTCCTGATCATATTACGGTAAGAAATCTATTTACATAACTATAATGAATTTATTTTACAAAGTTTTTCTTAGTCAAAAATCACTAATTTAGCATTTTGCTATTATCTAAAAATATAATGAAATTTTAAAAAGCAAGACAGTTACCTGAGGAGAGTCAAAAGGATATCGACTACTAAACTTAAATAGAAGTTGAAATTTTTCCCCTTCATATAAGGTACCTGGTGCACCTTCCATGTCTACAATCCACCTAGAAAAGAAAAAAAAAAATTAAAACTTCAGATAAATGGGGTTGGGTTGAGAAGGAGAAAAGAGAACACCAAGAACTTCCTCTATGCCAGGCACTGGGATATGAGGCATTGGTGTGTAACAGCACATGTCATCCTCCCAACAGTTAGAAACTCATCCTTCCAACAGTTATAAACGTAGGCAATTCACACTCTTGGACCTAGTCCCTTCTCTGCCACTCAAGTGTTAAATAACTAGATCAAGGTCAGACAGCTAGCAGAGGACAGAGCCAAATCTTATCCCAAGTCTCAAAAAAACAAACAAGAAAGAATGAATGAAAAACAAAACAAAATAAAAACCCAACTCAGGGTGATAACAGCAAAGCCTGTGTTCTTCCTACTCAATTTATGCTATCTTATTTTTTCAAGACTATTGCTACAATGACTAAAAAAACTTTATAAATAATATCAAACTAATCAACTGCCATTCTGATATCAATTATTTTAGAAGCAATGGGGGGAGTAGGCGTCAGCAATGACTACAGAGAATTACAGTGGTCAGACTTACTTTCTCATGGGTATTCTAAAGACTAATTAGGAAAAAGATAGCTAAGTTGACAGTGGTCCACTTATTGATGGGTCTTCAAAGCTCTATATGGCCTTCCCTATGTCTCTTACTTTGTCTCAACTGTTTAATAAAACCCAGAAGAGATTTCTATGGTATCTATGCAAGTTTACTTTGTTTCCATATATAAAAACCATGAATATAAGAGAGATATATATTAGGAACTCATTCTTATGACGTTGGTCCACTCTGCTTCTAAATACTGCCCCTTCATCATTGCTATCAAACTATTTCTCTACCCCACCCCCCATTTTTTTTTTTAAAAGAAAAGAGGTGGTATACAAAATATACTTATATAGCTGCCACTTACAGTAATTATTGTACACCTGGCCAATTTCTTCAATCTTATGCTTTCAGGTATAAAAATGTATTATTTTAAATGCAGGGAAACAAAAGGAAAGAAGATTGAGGACAATTTTGAGGTTCTATTCATCACCCCACATGCTATGGATTTAGGAGTACATAAAATAATAAATGTGCCTATTCTCTCAGAGCAATCACTGAACACAAACAGACTCTTAAGAGCATGGCTGCTCATTTTCAGAATGCATACTGAATACCATACGTGGTAAAAAAAGATATGACCACAGACCCAAGAGGCAATATTTTACAGTGAAATTAGATAGATCTGCCCCTTAACTAGCTGTGTGGCCAAGAGTAAGCTGTTTTACCTCTCCCATTTTAACTATTTCAATTATAAAACAGATATTAAAAAAAAGATTCACTTCAAAGTGTTGCTGGAAAGATAAATAACATTGCACATGCAAAAGAACCCTTAGCACATTCCTGACACCAGAGCCAGAACACAGTAAATTAAATACAATGCAAAAGCTGCACTAAAAAACAAAATCTAAAACCTATTTATTCTCTTTACAAACTAGATAAGTCCTTCCTAGCCATCAAAATCCTGTTTACCCCCCTCCACTTGGGACACCCACTGCAGAGTGATATTTTGAGGAAAACTCAGGACTTCCTGGTGCCCTTTCAATCTGTTTATAATTTAAGATACAATAAACTTAAGATACAATAAGCTGTGATCTATCCAAGCACAGCTTTTTTTTCCTTCTAAATCTTCACTGAAGGATATGTTTTTAATGATTTGATTTTAGAGGGGGGGAGAGAAAGAGAGGCAGAAAGAAGTAAAAAAAAGCTGTGCTTGGATAGATCACAGCTTATTGTATCTTAAGTTTATTGTATCTTAAATTATAAACAGATTGAAAGGGCACCAGGAAGTCCTGAGTTTTCCTCAAAATATCACTCTGCAGTGGGTGTCCCAAGTGGAGGGGGGTAAACAGGATTTTGATGGCTAGGAAGGACTTATCTAGTTTGTAAAGAGAATAAATAGGTTTTAGATTTTGTTTTTTAGTGCAGCTTTTGCATTGTATTTAATTTACTGTGTTCTGGCTCTGGTGTCAGGAATGTGCTAAGGGTTCTTTTGCATGTGCAATGTTATTTATCTTTCCAGCAACACTTTGAAGTGAATCTTTTTTTTAATATCTGTTTTATAATTGAAATAGTTAAAATGGGAGAGGTAAAACAGCTTACTCTTGGCCACACAGCTAGTTAAGGGGCAGNAACCTCAACCTAGGTAGGAGCCCTAACTGGGAATCAATTGAACCCATAATCTTTTGGTATACCAGACAATGCTCCAACCAACTGAGTCACCTGGCCAGGGCTACAGTTTTTAAATAGCTAAGCAAATACCTCAGTAATTCCTCCAACAGCTAAGCGAGATAGGTCAGAAAAGGCATAATTTTCCATTGTACAGTGTAATTTTAATTAACATTTTACTAATTAAAAAGTAAAATATGTCTACTATAGAAAATTTAGAAAAAGTATAAACAAAACAAAAGTCACCCACAGCCCAGCCGGTATGGCTCAGTGGTTGAGTATCAACCCATGAATGGTTCAATTCCCGGTGAGGGCACATGTTTGGGTTTCGGGCTCAATCCCCAGTAGGAGGCAGCTGATCAATGATTCTTTCTCATCATTGATGCTTCTCTCTCTCCCTCTCTCTCCCTCACCCTTCCTCTCTGAAATCAATTTAAAAAAAAAATCACCCACAGATAACTAGTGTTTAACTTTTGGGGGTACATTTCATTCTAGTTATTTTGCATGGCAGTTTCTATATCAATGGTATTGAAGGCTAGTAGAGTTGCATTACATGCATACTTAAGTTACATAAATTCAAATCATCAGTGCTTATAATTCCAATCACAAGCACACACCCCAGAGTAAGGATGAGATGGGAGACATCTCAGTTTCTAACTTCTTGTGAGTAGCTACTGCTCTATGATTCTAATGTTTAAATAGGTATTTTCACATATTCATGGCTCCTAATCAAAGAAGCAGCCATCTCTATTCCTCTCTGAAGGAAAAACCAGCATAAGTAGGTATATTAAGACAGGATACATGCCAATATGGCCTCTCTAAGGGATTTTCAAAGGTAATTATGACTAAACAAAACTTCTGCCTTATCTGCTGACTGTAGACTAAAACTCAAGAGATGCCACTTCACTATACTACCTTGAGAAACCATTTCCCTACTATTAATATTTATAATACTTCCAAATTGTCCCTAGAAATAATGTTGAAATGAGTACACAGCTGAACCTGGAACAACACGTGTTTGAACTGCACAGGTCCATTTATACGTGAATATTTTTTCAATAAATATGTACAGTACTGTAAATGTACATTCTCTCCCTTATGATTTTCTTAATAACATTTCCTTTTCTCTAGGTTACGTTAGTGTAAGAATATAGTATATAATACACATAACATATAAAATATGTGTTGATACATTATTTATGTTATCAGTAAGGCTTCTGGTCAACAGGCTATCACTAGTTAAGTTTTTGGGGAGTCATAAGTTACATGTGGAAATCTGCCTACACGGGGGTTGGTGCTCCTGACTCCCACACTGTTCAAGGATCAACTGTAGTTAATTCTAAAGTCAACCCTTCTATATCTTTTTTCCTTCCTTAACACAGCATAGGGGTTTATTAGGTCAAAGGATATGATACTCATGTTTTTTAAAGTCTTAATATATGCTACCATAATGTCTTCTAGAAAGTTTTATGTGTTTTCATCATCTTCCTTATCCATATCCACATCCCACATAATCCCACTTAACTATTCAATATCTGATATCTACAAGACTATTTTTATATCCTGGATAATGGACAAAAGATAATAAAACTTTGTCATTCATTCACAATGTTATTTTAAAAGAAAAGTTACTGCCTGACAAAAGTCTCTAAGTGACAGGGTTACTCAAAGATAATGCTCTTTTCAAAAGAAATATCAACAAAACGGCAACCAATCAAATGGGAGAAGATATTTGCAAATGATACCTCCAACAAGGTGTTAATATCCAAAGTATATAAAGAACTCATACAACTCAACAAAAGAATAAACAATCCAATTAAAAAATAGGCAGAGGACCTGAACAAACACTTTCCCCAAGAAGACATGTGGATGGCCAACAGATATATGAAAAGATGCTCAACTTCACTAGCTATAAGGGAAATGCAAATCGAAACCACAATGATATACCACTTTACACCTGTTAGAAAGGCTACTATCAATAAGACAAGAAATAACAAGTGTTGAGATGTGAAGAAAAAGGAACTGTTGTGCACTGCTGGTGAAAATGTAAATTGGAGCAGCCTCTATAGAAAACAGTATGGAGGTTCCTCAAAAAATTAAGAATAGAGCTACCATATAACCCAGCAACCTCTCTTCTGGGTATCTATCCAAAATATTTGTAAAGATGTATGTATCCCTATGTTCGTTGCTGCATTATTCACAGTGGCTAAGACAAGGAAACAACCTAAGTGTCCTTTGACTGATGATTGGATAAAGGAGATGTGGTATGTATATACAATGAACTATTACTCAGCCACAAAAAAGATGAAATATTGCCATTGGAGACAGCATGGATGGATCTTGAGGGGATCATGCTAAATGGAATAAGTCAGATGGAAAAGGAAAAGAACCATATGATTTCACTCATATGTGGGATATAAAACAAAAAGCAAGAAAAGAACAAACAAAAAAACATAGATACAACAGCTTGGTGGTTACTAGAAGGGAAGGGGGTTGGGGGAGGATGGAGAGGGTAAAGGGGGTCAAATATTTGGAAGGAGACTAGATTTTAGGTGGTAAGCGCACAATGAAATATACAGATGTTGTATTATAAAGCTGTATACCTGAAACATATAATATTATGAACCAATGTTACCCCAATAAAATTAATTTTTTTAAAGTAATGCTGATTTGAGTTATACTTTGTAGTACACTACTTGTTTATTTATGAAAATGTAAAACATTCTTTTAACTTTTTATAAATCATTGTGTTGTGTGGTTACGCTCCACCCCCCAAAAACTAAAGGTTGAAAGAGGAAGCAATAGATTAACCAATTTCCTTGAGAACTATAAGACTAACCGTTACAGGATATTGAGGTAGGTTAACAAAGGGAGAGAGAAAAAAAGATGAAAACAGAGTATAATCCATCTTACTTGTTAAATTACATAGAACAAATGCCATACACACAAAATGTGTGCTCCATTTTCATATTTTGAAAAAAATGAAAAATGAGAGCCATAAAAACATCGAAGAACCTTAAATACATATTACTTAGTGAAAGAAGCCAATCTAAGAAGGCAACATACTGTGTGATTCCAACTATATCACATTCTGGAAAAGAGAAAACTACAGAAACAATAACAAGATCAGTGGCTGCCCGGCTGGCATGGCTCAGCAGTTGAGCACTGATGTATGATCCAGGAGATCGAGGTTCAATTCCCCGTTGGGACACATGCCCAGGGTTGAGGGCTCAATCCCCAGCAAGGAGGCATGCAGGAGGCAGCCAATCAATGACTCTCATCATTGATGTTTCTCTGTTTCTCTCTCTCTCTCCCTCTCTCCCTTCCTCTCCCTATCAATAAAAAAATAGTAAAAAGAAAGAAAAAAAAATCAGCGGTTGCCAGAGGTTGGAGGGGGCAGAGGGAAGGAAGGATGACTACATGGTCAACACAGAATCTTTAGAGCAGTAAAAATAATCTGTATAATACCATAATGATATACATGTCATTATACATTTATCCAAATCCACAGAAAGTTCAACATCAAGAGTGAATCCAAATGTAGACTTATGGGTGATTTTGATGTGCTCATGCAGATTCATAAATTGTAATAAATGTACTACTCTGGTAGGGGCTGTTGATAATGGGGGAGGCTGTGCATGTGTGGAAGCAGAGAGCATATGGGAAATCTATGTGCCTTCTGCTCAATTTTGCAGTGAACCTAAAAATGCTCAATCGAGAACCCAGCTGTTTTAAAGAGATTGTTATAGAACTAGAGATGTGTATTACATTTTCAAACACCAATATGTGTATCCATCCAAACATCAACATTTTCATTGTCCATATTCCTGTTCTTAAAGCTTGACTCATGTCTTAATGACTCAAATGTCAAAGTGAAAGGTAACCAAAATTGTTTCCTCTGGAAGGATGAGTATGTCCACAGGGTGTGTAAATTTTAGTCACTTCTGCTCTCTGGACCTAGAACATCACTAAATATTTTAATTGTCCTATTTGTCCTACAAGTTGATCTATAGTAAATGTTTATCTTGTTGGCTCCTATCCCTTTTATGTTTTTTGGAGATTTTTTTTTTAAGGAAAGGATCAATTATTTTAAATTTTCCCCTATTTCAGAACATCTACCCTTATCTAACAGAACTATTAAATCAAAGGAATAGTAAGAACAGACCATACTGGGGTGTGAGATCTTAGAATGATACTCTTAAAAACATTTCTAACTAATTCAAATTCATTTTTATGAGAGGGACGCGTCTCTCTCTACTCTTCTTGGTATCATATCTAGGAAGACACTTCTCCATTCCTAAGGAAGGAGCTGAGTTAGAGAGAATACTTGTGTTCCCTTCCACCCTTCACTTTTTCATGCATAGAATAAGGTCTGTTAATTGTACTTACTACTTAAAGAGAATGTGATAAAATATGAAAATAATTCTGTATTTAAAAAAATAAGTATACATTCATACATTACATTAATAATAAAACAAATAAGTACTTTAAAAATTAAATACTTACTGTGTAATTGAATTTTGAACACTCTTTTCATTTAAAGTCATCCCAGGAGGTGGGTCATTTTGCAAAGCCAACAGTTCTTTCTGCAGTCGTTTCTAGAAAAAAATCAATAATAATTTGTACTTTTTTGTTATAATATAATACCCTTCTAGTTATACAGTCTGAAATCCTTGATTAAATTTCCTCCAAATGCTCATACCTTTTCCTTTATAAACACCTTACATCTTCTATATATTTTATATAAACTTAATAATATTCAAACTTTCAATTGTCTGTCCTATAATTCACAAGCTATAGTCAAAATATTTCTAAATATATTTGTAAAACCTGATGCTGTAAAGTGGTTATGAAGAGCAGCCAGCAACCTACAAAACTTCATAGCTACTCCATGGTGGTTGTAAGGTCTCAGCCTAGGTTATAAGTGCTGAGTTTTGGTAGTGTTTCTTTTACTGCTTTTCAATTATAAATACCAATGTTCTCCATAACCCTTAAAGAACATGTCATTTCAGACAGACAAGCTTTCCAGAGGAATTATACAAGTAACCTGTCATGCAAAAAGCTTTTGAATAAGTTTTAAATAGTTTTAGTTTATAATTTACAGCCCATATTTGTTTTCTTAAATATGATCATCTACACGCATTTTAATCTTTCAACACCAGAACATAACATATCAGGGCCCAAGATATATACACTTATTTTTCCACGTACCAGATGTTCCAAAATGGCTATGTATTTTGCATTCTTGTTTGTGCAGCTTTTATTGTTAAACTCTTCCATTATTATCATTAGTGGACGTTACTTTTTAGTTTACAGCAACAACAAAAAACCCCACGGCAGTTCATAATTTATGGGTTTAAAAACCAAATAATCAATGTTATTAGAATTGTATGCAACATTATAAAGATTATGAGTAAACGTCTTTTCTTGGATTAAAGTACACAAACATAAATATCTGTTCAGAACTCAAGAATCTGCTGCTTAAAAGCTAGTATCTGCTTTTTCTGGACAAATATTACTATCAATATAGCAATGTTTCTAGATCTTTTCACATTTAAATAACCTTAACATCATCCAACACCACAATTTAGAAAACTCCTCCCCTTTTTGAGAATCACTATAATAGACTTGAATAAATGGCTCTTTAAGTTGACAAGAATGAACTTTTCCTCAGATCTTGCAATATCATAATTACAAGTAACAATGAAAATAAGGTATCAACTACTTGCAATCTCCCCGCCCCCATTCTGACCCTACCCTGCATTACCCAGAAAAGGGTTTATTTATTTTGGTGAATATATCACATTATTTTGGTGTAACAAACCGGAACTCATATTCAGTGCTGGCATTTACTGCTTCATGAGCTCTTTACTTTTAAATGTTTTATTGATTGATTTTAGAGAAATACTGATTTCTTGTTCCACTTATTGATGTATTCCTTATTGATGTATTCATTGGTAGATTCTTGCATGTGCCGTGACCAGGAATCGAATCCACAACCTTGGGGTATGGAGAAGTTGCTCTAACCAACTGACCTATCAGGTCAGGACCTGCTTCATGTGCTCTTAAACTATATTATATACTGCCTCATGGAAACTAACTAGAGAAGTTAGGAACGATTTCTCCAAGTCCTCAAAAAGTAAAAGCATGGCCCAGTAATAGGTCCACAGACATTTTGTGCAGGACAGTGCTAAATCATGGAGTTCCATCCCAGTGATGTGATTTTTGCTTCTTCAGCTCCTGATCATTTGCTTTTTCAGACAGCTGAAGATGATGGGTATGAAAGCATAAATATGTACTAAGGTGTTTGTTTAATAGTGTTTAAGTTGAAGAATACCACATCAAACAAAATGCTCCTGGTTAAAAAAAAAAAAAAAAGTGCTGGCCAGTGTCCCATACATGGAAAGGTTGTGGGTTCGAACCCTGGTGAGAGGAAACTGATTGATGTTTCTCTCTCCCCCTTTTCCTGCCTCTAAAATCAATTAAAGAATATATTTTAAATAAGCCCTGCCTGGTGTTGCTAAATGGTTAGAACAACAGCCCAAGCACCAAAGGGCTTCGGGTTCCATTCCCAGTCAATGGCACATACCTAGGTTTCAGGTTCAATCGGGCCCAGTCGGGGTGCGTGCGAGAGACAAGCAATCTATTTGTTTCTTTCACATGGATGTTTCTCTCCTCTCTCTCTCTCTCTTCCCCTCTCTCTCTCCCTCTCCCTTCTCTCCCTCTCCCTCTCTCCCTTCCTCCCTTCCTCCCTCCCACCCTCTCTCCCCACCTCCCTTCCACTCTATCTAAATATCAATGGAAAAAATATCCTCAAGTGAGGATTAAGAAAAAAAGGCTATTAACATCTAAACCAGTTCAGCTTCTACTTCTAAACTAATACATTTCTGGAAGTATTATCCCATATGCTGAAACCAAGGCACAAAACATTTAAATGATATCCTTGTGGTTATAAATCAAAACCAGAACAGAATATATTCCTCTTAGATACTAACAATGGCAATACATAAAGGGACAAACTGATGAGATTCCTGGACCTGTAAAACCTAAATTCCAGTGGGGAAAGAGATGGTTGATAAATAGGAACAAAACAAGTAAGTATATGGTATATTAAAATGTGATGAGAAATGGAGCAAGTTAAGGGGATGTGATGTTAGGTCTTGCATCTTGTGATGTTTTATCTCCAAGCGACAGTTTGAGAGACTATTCTAAAAGACAGAAATCCTTGTATAGCATAGGAAAAAATAGAAACAAGGAGGAAAAACATTAAATGTAGAAATGTGTGTATGTGTGTGTATATATATAAATATATATATGACAATGGCTGCTAATATAGCAGTACATAAAATGGCCAACAATGTTTTCTCCAATTTCATCTAATAACAAACTAAAGGTTAAAGGATAACAATAGGGGAGCAAGACAGGAAAAAAAAATTGGCACACATTAATACCAGGACAGCAACAACCACTACTCCATTTCCCCCAATATATTAAGAAACATTTATAACAATAGCCATTTATTTCTGGGTGAGATGCTAAGCAATAAAATTTTATTTTAAAATACTGATTCATGCATATTAAGGAAACATTTCTTTCCTACTGAATTCTAAGTACACTTCTAGAGACCTTTACTCCTAATAGTAACTTATCAACACTTTTCCCCCTTAGGAAATGGAAAGCCTTCAATAAATGGAGGTATTCATTCTTATTTTAAATTGACATCTTCAAAAATCACATTGGGATGCAAAAAGTGACAAGACTAAATGATTTGTTTTTAAAAGTCCATAGCCTAAAGAGAGACAAATACATAAATCACTTCTCCATGCTTTCAGGGTACAATAGTGCCCAAAAGGACAGTTTGGTCACAAAGGAAAAAAACTAGGGCTGTGGTCAACTGAAAGCCAAAGAACATGTTTCAAAGACAAAACAGAATTTCATCTCCACCACAATGACAGAGTAGATACTCTAAATAATTCTATAGGGAAAAAAAAACCAAAGTGAATGCAGGGACTCTGAAATTTTGCCTTGAGGGTTTCTACCAAACCAAGGAGGGGAGAACCAAATAGTAAGGAATCTAACAGAAAAACTACATAAAAATATGACCCCTCAGTATAAGGATGAACAAGGTTAAAGGGTGCAGGAGACGGCAATGAAATCTGCCTGTTTTGAACTCGTCAATGAGTAGAGGAAAAAAATTCTTCCATGAAAGGTCATAACCTAAGCAGATGTTTACAGAGATGTGCAGTCTGAATTCTTGTGACCTGAGAACCTTAGGCAAGAATTTAATCAAAAGTGCTCCATGAAGCCCACCCGGGTGTAGCTCAGCGGTTGAGCATCGACCTAGGATCCAGGAGATCACGGTTCAATTCCAGGTCAGGGCACATGCCAGGGTTGCAGCCAATCAATGACTGTCTCATCATTGATATTTCTCTCCCTCTCCCTCCCTCTCTCTGAAATCAATAAAGATATATATTTTTTAAAAGTGCTCCATGAAGTAATGCCCCAGGCCACTGTCAGAGCAAATAGAAATCCTGGAGGAATACAAGTTCTATCTTTGAAAAAAAAATAAATTATTGATTGATTTCAGAGGAGAGAGAGGAGACACTGAAACATCAAGGATGAGAGAGAGTCATTGATCGGCTGCCTCCCACAAGCCCCCTACTGGGGAGCAAGCCCAAAACCTGGGCATGTGCCGTGACCAGGAATCAAACCATGATTTCCTGGTTCATAGGTTGACATTCAACCATTAAGCCACACCGGCCAAGCAAATTCTATCTTTTGAAGCAACAATTTCACTTCTCAGAATCTAGAAAGATACACAAAAAAATTAATAAAGACCAAATGAGAAATTACTCAGAAAACAATAGCATGCAACACCTGATGTGATAAAAATCTATCTTCCCTAGCTGGAAAAGCCCTACATCCCCAATTAATTTATGTTCTTATAGCATTTACACAACTGAGCAATTCTAAGGCAGAGATTACAGTCTACTTATCTTTGTTTTCCTAGCATTCAAAACTGTGCCTGGCACATAATTTTTTTTGCCTCAGTAAATTAAAAAAAAAAAAAATTAATAAAGATGGTGACTGGCTCACTGTTTGTAAAAGATAATCCAGAAACAATATATGTGTCCATTAACAGGTAAGTTATACAAATTACGACATATGAAAACAAGACTACTGAAACCATTAAGCATTATATGAACTACGTGTACTAACAACAAAATAACTGCAAAACATTGAAACAAAGAAAAAGCAAGCCTCAGAAACACATATAATCCCTTTATGGTAAAAAAAAGCAAGACATTTATTTATACAAATGTTATATAATGCATACAAAAAAATCAGAAAGCAGCACATCCAACTATTTTACAATATTTCCCTTCTACCAGAAGAAATGGAGAAAAAGGACATCCCTATTTACACTATATACTTTTATGACTCTTTTACAAAAAGAAAAGGGTATTTCTTGTATAATTAGAAAACAGATTTAAGGGTCCAATGGATGATAAAAATATGTCCACATAAAAACATGTCCACAAATGTTCATAGCAACATTATTCATAATAGCCAAAATGTGGAAGCAACCCAAACATCC